GATCACTGGAACTGCTGCTCCATCAGTTCCCAGGAAAGGGGGCCAGGTGAAAACAACCCAAAACTGCCTCCCCTCCCAGGGCAACAAAGAACTGTGAGTAGGAGTGGGAAGGACACAGTACCAAAGAAAGGACAAACAGATTCTGTGTTCAATAGTCCTCACACCTTAGCTCCCCTTGCACTCATCTGCACTGTTACTTGCACCCCCAGAGATCAGAATCCCTAGGATTTTTCTGCCTTCAGTATGAAAATGTGTATCCTAAGAAACTTCCTGTTTTACTGGTTTAGAAAACAAATTCCTTGGACAAGGACTACAAGAGGAATCAGAGGCAGAAAGGAATCAAGTGACCTGTCTGAGATCATGCTGCAAGCTGAAAGCAGAATCAGCACTGAAATACAAGTCCCCTCACTTCATGGCCTTCCCTCACGTTTGGGGTTGTCCAAGTCCCACCAGTACCAGAGGAGCACTGAATCATCACATCACACCCAAAAGCAAAAATGCAGCTGGAGCGGGGCTTTCTTCTCCATCCCAGTTCTAGCATTTGTAAAAAGTACTGATCAGTCCAAAATGGGAATAACAGCTTCAGAACTAAGAATGATTGGGAGAAGTATGTATTTTCAACTGCCACTAACATGAGACACTGAAATTTTATCATTCCATCTCCAGAAATGTCCTAATTTTTGGCCCACTCCCCAGCACATCTTCCTTTCCACTCCTTATACAAGACTTAAAGAAAGTTATATCTGTTTATGGATGCTGTGATTCAAACATCTGGCCTGCATAAAAATGTTTTCTGCATCACACCCATCAACATGGTCACTTCATTCTCAACTTGTTATTTTTCCCCCAAAAGCAAGTACAGATGATTTAGTGGCTCCACCTGCTCTGTCAAAAGTTATCAGCCATATTGCATATTGAATTGCTTTAGGCATAGCAGCCCAAACATAAACTGTGCTACATTATTTCATCTTTATGGAAAAATGGTTGTTGTAAGAGTCCAATGGTTCTTTGTAGATTGCATTAAATACATATATATTTTAAATATCAATTGGGACTTTTAAAAATATTTTAACACCATACTGAATTCTAAGAAGCCTACAATCTTCAAACATTGGAGAAAGGAAGCAAGAGTGAAAAAACAAGCAAGAAACCTCTATTCAGCAAGTTCTTGAAATGTGCATAAACAAACTAAATATTCAGTCTATTCAGCAAAATAGGAGACCATATCAAAAATGTTCCTGACTAAGAAAAAAAACTTTATCAAAAAAGAGTAAACATAGTTGTCCACAGTGTCATATAAATCTTTACTTCTCACACACCACAGGTCTGTGACCAGAATTCAGGCATTGAACCCTCAGTTGGGGTTTTTGGGAGCCACAGGGGCTTCATGCACCTCAGCTCCCAGCTCACACAAGGCAGAAAAGATAAACCTCCATCAAGATAAACTAATTACTGACAGCAAGAGCTTCAACATGTTAAAAAAAAGATCTTATAAGCACAAGATGAGTGCTCTGAGAAACAATGTGGCCAAAATGTTATCAAATGTACAGGATGGATTGCACACAAACACAGAGCTTGACGTTCTTCTGAACAGACAACCCCTAGAACCCCTAGAAGCCTAGAAGCTACATGCATACTTAAAATCAGAAGCTGAAATTTGGAAGAATTCCTCTACAAACACTGTATGGGTCATCAAAATACAAAGACCAGCAAGAGTACTGTAATCAATTTTTTCAAATCATCCTTATCACTAAGCTTTCACTACAATTTCACTTCTATTATGCATCATTTGTTTGAAAGGACAGTGTGACTACTACTTTTCTGGATCGGACACCAGCAGTTCTGATCAAGAGTGGATGTCTTTAGCTAAATACCTATGAACTGTTTCCCTTCTGTTATGTACATTCATCTGTATATAAAAATGAATAAAATACTTTGACACAATTCTGAAAGATTATAACTCTACTATCATCCACACTGGAACAGCAACATGTCAGTGACTACAGTAGGGCAAACAACTACGCCATGAGATTTTTGAGGCTAATAAGACTAAAAAAAAATCAAGAACCGTAGAATTGTTTGCGGGTTTTTTGAAGAAATTCCCTTCCTCACAAAGAGGGCACCTTCAAAGTACAGTAACTCAAGCAGCATATGGCATTTACATTTTCATCTAAATCTTTAAAGAAGCCCATTATTTCCTTATATTTGAAAAAAGAGCCCTGCTTTATTTCACCACACCAACCATAAATTATTCATTAATTCTGTTTGCTAACTCTGTAACTGAGCCCAGATGTTTCTGCTGGAGTGGCATGCTGTAAGAGAAGTTAAATATAGCAAGCTGTATGCAAGGACCAGACTCTCTCTCTCTCCTCACTACAGCATGCTCAAATATTACTTGAGAAAAAACAATGAAAACATTTGAAAAATATTCTGAATATGTGGGTCTGAAATGCCACAGTCTGATCACAAAATTTCATGTGAAAGAACTCCCATGCATTTAATTTGGGTGTAACTGAAGTCACTGGTCCTGTCTCTGGGGAAAGGGCTGGCACTTTCACTCACCAGAGTAAACAGAGAATTTACAAGAGGAACACTCCTTGCCATGCATCATTTACAAATACAAATGACGACTTAAGTTTTCAATTATAAGAAACACTTCTGAGGCAGCTACCAAGGGCAACAACCAAGTTGATGAGGAACTGAGAGCATCCTAAGCAATTCACTATGGAATTAACACAGAAACTTACCAGAGGGAATTTTTAATCCATTTCAGTGCTTCAGAAAAACAACCATTTTACACTAGCAAAGATGATAAATGTCTAAACCAACACTGAAAACAGTCCTGTCGACCAGAATGGAAATTACCACCTTCAGCAACACATTCAGCCACTGTTATGGTTTCAAGCACTCTTCATCAACTGCCTTAAGCAAGTTTGGAAGTGTCTATTTTAAACTAGGAACTATTCTTGATCATTATATAGTTGGAGAAGAAGTGAAAAACAGATTAAACATCACAGTGTCACTTGGAGTTTGGAGACTCTTCTAAGGCCCACAACTCTTCTTCAGTTGTGAACAGTGATAATGAGAGATTTTCAGAGGTCATCTTGTCCCTTTGCTGTGCTGCAAGGCAAGATTAAGACTGTTTAAAATATCTGACTGATCTGTCCCTAAGTAATTCCAGTGTAACAGATTCTGTACCATGAGGTACAGACGGAGGGTATTTTGGAGGAGCTGTTATAGACCAGTGTGTTAATGGCACCACTGCCTTGGTACCAGGTATTAGCTACTGTCATCCAACTTTCCCACACTTGCATCTTGTAGCCATATTCTGCTGTTCTTTAACCAGCTGTGTCCATATGAGACTTTGCAAAATAAGTTAAGACTAATTACTGTTAACAGAGGGCATCTTCCCATTAGCCAGCAAATAGGCAAACAAATCTTGATGTGTATATATACTACTAGCCACCTTAGAACATAGCACAACTCTGTCAGCTGTTATTAAAAAGATGAATACATGACTGAAGTCATAATTTAGTCATGGGAAGGCATACCAGCACTACCTTTAGTCTTCTCAATGTCAATAATGTGAGAAACAATAGAGTGGTAGCACAGGCCAACAATCTCAGGGCAGTAAATATCTATTTTTTTTTTTTACTAGTCCACACTGTGACAGTATTTTCTTTATTTCTGGTAGCTACTCAAAGTTAGCACAAAAAGCTATCACTAAATTCTACTATGGATAATAACCTCTTCATTTTGCTGTGTAGACAGATCTTTAAGGACATCTCACTTCTTCAGGAATCAGCAGGAAAGCAGACAGCAAGAAGCAAACCAGACCAAATTTTATATAAGCTAGTCACCCTGGCAGCAAGTTAAAACTAAGTCCTCCTCTATGAGGAAACATTTCCTCTCCAACTTCTAGGGAAGAAGAGAGGTATGCAACACAAAACCTAGAAACTGGACCCAGTTACAGCATGTGTAAGAGATGGAAGGTGACAAAGGCTCTCAGAAAACAAAGACCATATGTTGCTAACGGTGGAAATCTGTGAAATCTTTGTTGGGGGGGAGGGAAGAAAAAGGATACAGTGCAGGTGTAGAATCACAAAACAAGTCAAAAGAGATGAATATAAATTATATTAAATAGCCCATCTCAAAAAAAATCTAATATATGAGGAGAGCATTATAGTAAAGGAGAAATAACTTTTAATCCCCTTTGCACTGTATTAATTTCTAGAGCACTGCTGAGAAATTTTTTTCTTGTGGAGTGAAACCAGCACCTGGTATGTTTCCTTGTTTTTGCATAGTAACAGGAGCTGCAGGAAGGTTTTCATTTGGACAACTAAATTTAGAAAGTGAAACATCAAATCTGACACACTTTGATTGTAAAGTCTTAGCTACACATTACAAATAGCTAAGTACAATTATTTGAAGTTACTGCTTTTAGGTTACTCTTGTTTAAGCAAAACTCAGGCCCTCATGAAACTGTCTGTATACCTGAATTTGTGCCTTATCCTTCTCCACAGGTATTGTGTTTGAAAACAGGGATAAAACCTTAAATTAAAAGGTACTCTAACAAAAATTCAGCATCCAGCTACTTTATGAAGAGGCTTATGGGAAAAGGAAGTCACCATGGAGACCTACCTGCTTGCAAGACCTATTAGGCAGAAAAAGAAATGTCACAAGGAGAATTCTTGGTGTTAATCTGTACTGATTTTTACAACAGTAATCTACAACAATTTAAACAACCCAAATCTAAAAGGTCTTGAGATTCTCCCACTTTTGGAAGTCTTATCTGGCCTACTCACTTAGTGTACACATATAGACTATTACATTCCAGCAGAATTACGACCAGATGGGGTTTTGCTGTAAACTTGACTGCTTTCTTTTGTTGTTTTTTATAAAGACTTGTTCTCTGTTCATTTTTTCACAGACAGATAACAATCACATTCAACATTAAAAAAATAAAAATAAAAAAAAAGAAAGAAGAGAAGAATGTTTACTTTGGTTGTGCTAAGCAGCCAGGTGCTATAATACTGCAAGTTTCATCTGTAGTCTGCAGTGCTGTAAGTTCTACCATGTTAACCATCACATCGGTCTTGTGGCCGGGAAGTTTAGGAAGCACAGAAAGAATCTTCTCTGCAAGATTGTCACCATGATGGCCAACTGCTCCTAAGGAAAAAAAAAAAAAAAAGCCAAAAAAGAAACCTATCAGGTGCATAACTAGAAAAACAAACAAACACAAGGAATTTAAAAGAAAATAACCATGTTTTGGGGAGGACATTGGTACTCTTAACATCACAACTACATTTAGCTTTTCAAAAATATTTTTCTACAAAAGTAAAATGAATTTCTAGAATGTGTAAAGTTAGCACAACATTTCAGAAAGATTAATTTAAAAAGCACAGATTAGACTTAGTTTTACAGCTGTTAGATATTCACCGGTTTTACACTTAGACATGAAAAACATATTTTTTTCCCTAAGGAAGTTGTTAAATAATATTTGTAATGGTTATTGAAAAAAGCAAGGAAATATTTATATATACACTCCCATGCATACTGTACTTTTCTATAAAATTAATAGGGCTGTGCTTAAAAGGACTATATACAAGTTGCATAAATAGTCATCTAGGCAGGCCAGTCTAATATTAAAATAAACAATTACCAATGGCATGCCACAATCAAGATCATCACTTTTATATGAACTGAGGTCAGCTCAGGTGAAACAAATATGAAATAACTAAACCAACCCAAGTTACAAAGTATGAAATGTCAATTTGACTGGATTCCAAGAGAAATTCCAGACTCCAGCTGGCATGTATTCTTCAATTTTCCTGATTTCAAACACACATGCTTTTCTTTCTATTCATGAACTCTCAACACAGGCTCTACAACCAACTTAAAAAATACTAGGGCTGTGAGCCAAGTCAAAGCAGAAAAACATGACACACACTACAGATAAAAAAGTCAAGAGAGAGGGACCAGAAACCTTATTACCTTTAGGTCAGGAACAAGATATTTGAGGGTATTTGTAGTCTGCCACTTAGGCTATGGCTCAGCCATCAGCACAGGGCTGGACAGCAGTGCTGAACTTAGTTTTGTTGTCCTAGCTTTAACCACAGAAAAACAGGAACTTTTGAAGCACCACTGAGAGGCAGGAAAAAGTTCTCTCAGGCTATGTTCCCACTCCATCTAAGTCTTTCTGTGTAGCAGCTATCCGCTCTTATGTTTTCATCATTTCCAGAGATCTGTTTCAACAGCTGAATTAGCTTCACATGCTCCACAAATCCAAACAAGGACCTTACATCAAGTAAATTGCCAAGGTCAGATTATTAAGTGCTCTTGGATAGCAGAAGCAGAAGAGTGTCGCCAATTCTATAGCAGACAGGTATCCAGGTGGCAAGCCATGGTTTTCCATGGTTTATCCACTATTCTGTATTGCAAAGGAAAATGAGAAGCAAGGATGAAAAAGGAAGAGAAAAGTGAAGTCAAATTCTGTGCTGCCAATGCCTTTATCCACAGAAAGCAAAGAAGGCACATGTGTCCAGCACGGGGTGATACTGCAGTGTGGATATCTGACCACTCGGCTGGATTATTACCCATTTGTTCCACCAAAGACAACAACAATTACAGAATGACAGCAACTTTCTTTTCTACCATTCTCAGCCAGAGTTAGACAAGTGAAGTGCAGATGGAATGAGCTAGGTTATCTTTGTGACTCCCTAACTTATCTTATTCTCAAAAATCCCTACATTCTTCTTACCAAGTCAATCATATGTAAGGCACACTGCAACACTTGCAAAGTTGCACAGGGAAAACCAACAGTAATCTTCTGAACCTCCACCCCATGTACTGGAAGCATCTCTCCACACATGCTGCATGCGAGCAACATTTAGCTAGACAGGACACTAGAAACACCTCAAATGCAAATAAACCCACATAATTAACATCCCTCCTCTCTTCTTGGCATAGGGGGAAGACTCAGTACTTGAGCTGACTCCATGAACAGCCAGTGCCATCTCTCTTTCCCGTAACTGTTACCTCTTGGAGGTTTCCACTGGTCCACTGACACTACTGGCTTTTGGCATGCCTCATCAAATCAATCACAAAATATCTGCTGGAGGTTTTAAAAGTCACTGTCACCCCAATCAACTGCATAAATCAACCAAGCCTGAAAAGACTGTTAAACTTCACAAGACCAGGACAGGAAATCACAGGGAGTCACTTGCAAACTGCACTGACTTCAGCAGGGCGCATGGGACTAGTTTTGATCCTCTCTACTCACCACTTCTGAGGACAGTCAACAGACTGCTCAGCAACTTCTCATGAGCAACAGTGTTTAAGGCACAAGTGTTGGGTTTGAATACTGCCAAAGTACAGACAGATTGAGCGTTCGTGTGACAAGTTATCTGACCACTGCAAAATATGAGTTTCCATGCCAAGCTAACATCTAGCTTTCAGGATACAAGAACTCTTATGCATCATGCTGTTCTGATTTAATTTTTTTCTTTACATTATAATTTACAAACTGAAATAGGTGACATTTTATACAAGTTGTAGCCAATACAACTTGCAAAGTCAACCTACCAATTCTTTAACAGCAGCCAGGAATTCATTAGCTACACCCCCTGCTTCCCCTGTGAATTTTTTAATGTACAGTTTTTAGCAAACCAGTGAAACAAATCTCATTGTGTGGTGCTAAATTCAGGTTCACATTGAGCTTTACCTCTAGAATGCACTAGATTTTTTCTTCCTTCAGTCTGTGTTGTATTTGATAGGACAAGCATCACATCCAACACATAGGAATAATTCAATGAAATTACCAATGAATTCCAGAGACATTTGTTGGTAACAAAAGAATGGTTGTATGCAGGGATCTTAATTTCATTTATGGATACTGGGAATAGAATCTTAAAAAACCAAATCCTGTAACTTCTCATTCTTACTCCATAAGCTTGAAGTTTCCTTCCAATGCTGCTCACTACAGTCCTGACGTTATCTCCAAAAAACCTTCTCCTACTGAAGTACAAGATTCCACACTTCCCACTATCTGCGTGCATAAATAAATCCTTTCCCCATTCCCACCCCAAACCAACACTCTTCTCATAATTTCATTTTAAGGCTCCTTATCCAAGTCCACTTTCCTGCAGTCTTCTGATCAATCTTCCCAACCTCAGCACAGCATTAATGGTCTGGATCCTTAGCTGCTCTTTAACACATTGTTGACGGCTATGAACCCCACAGCAGTTCAAGGATACACAATGGCAAAATCATGGAAGGAAAAAAAATACTGAGGAAAATTCAGACAGACCGGCTGCAGGGTGCAACATTGTACCAAGTACTTGCTACATGACACGTGGTGGCAAAAAATTGCGACCTGAATTACTGACTACAAAACAGAACCAGGCCCATGCATGCCAGCAGGAGGTATGTACGACTGGGATAGCAAATGCAGTCATTCCTTTATCAACACACATATGTACAGAAACACCTTCAGGCATATAGATATGGCTAAGGGTTACACAGAGACATGTATCTGCTTAGACAGATATAAAGATAAGAGTGACAAGTAGATACACTAGATACCTCACAGCAATCCATAAGGCTGAGTCTGAAACATGCAGACAGTTTCCTTCACCCCTCATGGCGGCAAACAGGTACAATTAAGATTTATAGTTTGCAGCAAAATGGAAGTGCTAGAAACAAACCCTTGGATTTACAGCAGAGCCTTCTACTTTACTCTTAATTTCTATGATCCACTGGGCTACAAGGGTGTGTAAGCAACCATCGTGGCCACAGGGTTAAACGTGCTGCCAGTGTTGCCAGATGAAGAACTGTTTGCACACCTGGTGGCTTAATATAGTGATTACTCTTCAAACCACTAGCCTGTGGAACAGAACCGCACACCACTTTTTCTGTAAGATCATGCTAAACACAAACCAAGAACAGGAGAGTAACCAGCTCAGTTATGCCAACGTTCCTCCTAATTTGGAAACCAGCACCAGTTCATTGGGCAGCTAAGTATGACTTTGGGGTCACTGACCACCAGGGACCACCACTTAACCAAACCATTTCAGCTATTTCTGCATGAAAGTATGCACCTGGTATTAGGGCTATTGGCACAGCATTTGGGATCATGGAAGCAGCCTGTAAGGTACTTTTCCAAACAACTGGATAATGTGAGTAACGGATGATCTGGATGCTTGAGAGCAGTGGCTTTTAATCCAGGAAGCATGAAACTGACACTGGGACAAAAGATTACAGTCAGTACACATATTCTGCATGGTAATAGCTGTCTTGGGACAGAAAGGAGGATATTGAGTATCACCAGCAGAATTCTGGAACACCAAGTTTTCCTACTGGAGCAGAATGATGCGGAACTTCCAGTGACTTCTGCTTTGAACCCAGCTGTGTTTCTCCAAGCTGCAGAAGAAGCCCAGAGTTCTACTATGACTGCCTGGTAACCACTGAACACAGAGCAAGTGTACTCTAGCAGACCAGATCTCAAGAGTAATCCCACATAGGACCCAGAACTGGATATAGTGATGGGAGGAGTGCAGTACAAAGTGGAATACGGATTCTTGGTAACACCAGGTCACCAGAGCTCCCACTATCTGACACCCTCCCGATGGGGTGGGTATGGGCCCCTTAGAATGACAGCCCACACCAACTGAGGATTTCTTACCAGCAAGGTCCAACGTCCTGTCCACGAAGATGACAGAGGCCTTGTTGGTGGCTGTCCTTCTCCTGTTTCTGGCTGGGGCGTAGCTTGCCAGCTCAGCGGCGATGACCCTGCTAAGGGCTCCCACAGCAAAGCTCTCCTCCCGCAGGCCCAGGCCGGTGAAGAGAGAGTCGAGGTCACCTACCAGGGCCCGCACCGCCGCCCGCAGCTCGGCGGGCAGCGCACCCAGCCCGACCTCTGCGGGGCCGGGGCCTCCGGGGCCGGGCAGCGGCGGGAGGACCGCTGCCAGGGCGGGCAGCAGGCAGAGCTCCGCCGAGACGGGTGCCAGGAGCGGC